CTCACATCCAGGTAAGTTTTGCTGTGTAAATTTTATTCAGGAGTGTTATATTAACATTACTAGTCAGTAACTATGACATAAAAGTAGTCAGCATCTGAAAGAGTTAGCCAGTCAGTTGGGGAACGAAATATGTGACGCAGATAGCTAGAAGAGGAACCCATGGGCTTTCCTGGGGAGGCGCTGCAGGAAGACACAGAACAGACAGCAGGATGCTAGGCTACAGCTGAAGACACAGAGGAGGCAGGGCATGAGAAGCCCTCTTTGACTGGAGGAGTAACAGCCACTATCCTAAGACTGAGGAAGCTCTGCAGTTGGATGGTCAGGAAGGCTTACCAGAGAAAGCTGACTTTGAACTGGCCACTGCAGGATTTAGGGAAGATCTTGTTACATTTTATTTTTGCTTTTCCTTCTCCCCACCTCTTTGTGCCATATTTGATGCTAGTGAATCTTCTGATTTCCAGATCCCTCCTTACCCCACATGGTAGGGTGGTGAATTCTCCAGGCTGTGTTTCCTGGATCTTGGCATCTAACCTTCTGGCAGGTTCAGTTACTGTGATGGTTCTCACCTGTTACAATCACCTGAAGAGCATGAGGAAACTCCTATGCCCTCAGACCAATTAGACCAGGCTCTCTAGGGGTGTATTCAGCCAAGGTTGGTAACCACCAAGGCAAGAGAGGTACAGGTGGAGAAGATGGAGTTGGAAGGGAAAAAAAAAACAAAAAACACTCTGGATATAGCTTTCTCTTCTTCTATCTCATGCAGCTCTTGTGTGAGCCTTGAAGATTGTTCTCTGTATCCCTTGGAGGTGATTCTTTGTCTTTGGTGGACAGGTCTTCAAATGCATGTGTGTTGGTCAGTACAGAGCTGACGACAAGAGCAGAACTTTCATCAGTTCTCTGCCCTGCCCCCCAGATTGTTACCCTCTCTCATCTCAGAGGCCACTGTGTCCACTCAGGGAGCACCTCTGATAGCTGCTGCATCTCATCTATGGTTCTACATGCGTGGATGAGTAGTATGGCCCTCCCTCCCCTCTAACTCCGCCTTGGAGAGCCTGGCTGCCCGTGCTTCTTTTACAAGACTCTGACTTCTCCATTTTTCCTTCATCTTTGGATTAGGACAGATCAGTGCCTGTTTCCCTGATTAGTTCCTGACTCATACATAATCCTTAACTGCTAGGAGGTCTTCTGATGGTAGTCATCACAGTGAAGGAAAAGAATGAAAATTGAACCACACAATTCTTGATAAAAAAACAAAGATTAGTGAACCTTAAAAGAAAGGAAGGACGGCCCTCCCTGGTGGCACAGCGGGCTAAAGAACAGCACTAGGAAGCTAAAGCCACTTCAGCATGAGTTCAGTCCCCACCCCGGAGGTGACCACATGGCATGGCAGACCTCTCCTGGCCCTCCCTGCTTCAGGGGAAATGTTCTTAAAATAGTCCAGGAGGTGATACAGACCTGAACTTCAGCAGTAGGAACAGAAATTGAGGGTAGGGGTGGATTTGGAAAGTAAAATTGGCAGAATGATTTGGATGTGGGAATTGAGGGAGAGATCCCCATGTTTTCAACTTTCATCTGATAGAAAATAGAACTGAGGGGGATGCAATTTGATTTGGTGTGCTTTACTTTGAAGTCTGGAACATCTAGGTAGGAATGTCTAGCACTGCTGATTGTTATAAACCGAAAGTGTACAGGAACTTCAGATTTGCGGACACAGATTTGGGACAGCTAAAGCCATAAGATCAAAAGGGAAATATTAGGGGAAGAAAAAGGACTGAAGGAAATCGATCAGGGTTGTCTCCAAGATTTATTCCAAGTTGATCTTACTGAAATGTTGGTCTGTTGTTTATTGCTTATTGTATCTTCAGGCTTAAGAATATTTTGTGATGGAGAATTAATTGTGTTGTATTTCCTGGAACCAGTTTATGTCTTGCTTCAGAGTGACACCATGAGAGGCC